GACGACGGATGATTTGGTGTTAGTGATTTTGATTTTGCTAGTCAAATGAAACACTAACGAACAAAAAAACGTGTCAAATAACGAACTTTATTGAGTTAAGTTAAATCGCAAACATTCACGAAATTTATTCGAATATAGTTTATTAAGAACTACACAAAAAAATAAATCCGTGGTACAAGACTCAGATTTTTTAATGCTGTAATAAAAGAGCCTTTTATTAACATAGTTTTAGCAAGGAATTTTTATAGGCTGACGGTGAGGACTTCACTTCGTTTCGTCCAATTATACTAAAATATTCCCTGAAAACTGTCAGTTTTATTTCCTATTTAAATAAAATGAATTATAATGAGTACCTAGGTTTGCTGCTACAGGGAAGGTATTGAGGTGAGTTTTATATTGAAATGTTGATAGCTTAGTATGAAATAAACAAAATTGCCAAATTTGATTATAACATATCCATATATAAGCAAACTACAACCGTTTTTTTTTTATTCTCCGTAAGAATAACATGGGCATTTTTAATTTAAGTTTTTTTTTACTATCTCCATAACCGTATGGCATACAACAGCCCTTTGCTATATTAAATTATTTGTTTTTTTAAGCTCTAGAAAATGGGTTAAGAAATAAATTGCAAATTGTTTGGTTATTAGGGTCAAAAATGGGAAAACCCTATTTTAACCCCGTAACCCCATATTGATTTTTAGCTTCAATATAAAATAACTAAAAAACCATAAAAGATACGAATTTCACTACATTAACATTTTTAAAGATCATAACTTTTTGAGTAAATTGACGTTTATTGCAATGTTCTACCTAGAATATTTCTCGAGTTATAGGCGTTTTAGTAAACAGCGCCCCCCGCCATATTGCCCCCCTCCCCCCCGGGTTGTCGACCACGCTGGGGGGCGACGACATGCGTTTTCGTGATCACTATAGTGCCTATAACAACAATCAGAAATAAAATTGCGTCACCCTTGTCATGCATGCTCAACCCCCTTCAGATCCTGGACTACTAACTCAGTTGATCGCTTCAACAGAAGTACTTGTAGAAGGTGCAGCTGGTGGGTCATCAATGCATTGTTCATCTTCACTATCCATCTTGTAATTTGAACGAAACTCAGTAAACTAAACAAAAGGTCAGGCCTTAAAAACTACAAATACAATCGAAATTAATTAAACTCGCTACGTCCAAACTGTTCTTATTGTACTTTCATTACACTACTAGAGAAATACACGCACTTCCTACATTTTGGGCGAAACTATTTTTGTAACAAACTACTTTATAAAATAACAAATAAATTATAACAATGTTACGACTAGAGAAAGATAAAAATTTTTAAAAGTAAACAAACACTAAACAGAGATAACAGCCAAGAAGTAAAACCAAAAACAATAACAACAAACAACGATTCAGAAACCAAACGGCAACACGCAATATGATTTTTTCACATTCGTGCAGTACAAAGTAAAACCAAATGCAATCTTTAACCATTGATTATAGTACCTTTATAATATAATAAGCGTAACGTCAACAATTATATGATTAAAATCATTGACAAAGCAATTGCTTTATACGAAGTTGGTCAATCATAACGATTTTAATGGAATAAAAAATCCACAAATATTATTATACTAGTATGGTTGTACCGTCAACCCGCCACCAAGCACGAAGGCACCAACGTGCCACCCCGACAATCCGCCACCACACGGAAGAGGTGCCACCACGACAACGTGCACCACATCAACCCGCAACCATTGATTATACTTCTTCCCCAAGATGTATAATCAATGATGCAACCCTAAACTGCTTCTTCTTGTTGGTGGTTGGTTGATGTGGTGTCACCTTGACGCGTTCCCGCTTTGTCAATGCTAATACCACGAATATTAAAACCACGGCCGCCTCTAACTACAGGCCGCGGCCTTCGAACTGGCAACGTCGCAAGTGGTGTTGTAACAGCTGTTTTTGTTTGGAAGCAGCTAATGGTATTTGTGTATTTACGAACGAATGGTTACTGGACTATGACATTATTGACTCCGCTTAAAAATCTACAGATAAATTCATATTGTTTCGGTTTTCAATTCTGTATGTTTTATTTTCAATATTTTAATAAATTTAAATTTAAATCAATAAAGTGCGATTTAATGAGCTAATGTCACATGTCTGCCATGTTATCTTATCGGACGTCTGTCACTGAACAACACCACTTGCGACGTGTTGCCAATTCGACCAGACCGCGGCCTGTAGTTAAAGGCGGCCGTGATTAAAACAGACACGGTATTGTTCATAAACATAAACAAATGTGTTACTGGCTGGAAAGTGCAAATTTAAAATAGCTTAAAATGATTTGTCCAAACCATGTTGTTATTAGCACTCGATTCGGACCAGTTACGTCATTTGTTTATGTTTATAATCCATACCGCTAATATTCGTAGGCAACCTTTAAGTCCTGACTTTTATGGAAATCAATTTATCCATAAGGGCGCCTAATTATGAGTAAATTGAATGGGGTGTTATTTACTTTATTTTAGTATGAATCATCAGTTTTGATAATTTTTTACGCATGACATACACATTGCACAATGGGTTTAGTCCCACTGAGCTAGAGATAGACTACGACTGGTCACTGTTAAAATTGAGAGACGTTGGCCGCCAAATGTACTAGTGGTAAAGTACTTGGTGCATTGTAACTAGGGGCAGGCTGGTGGGAATGGGAATAGGGTATTGTTAAATTGTAATAAATCTATGAGCCAATGTATGATTGATTCGTCTAGTTGAGACTAACATAACCTAATTTTACATATGTCGATTTTATAACAAAGTCGCCGTTCCAGTGCTTCTCAATCCAGTATTCTTTCTCACTCAGTCTCAGTTTAGTGTCCAATCCAAACATTGCAGCAAAAATGATGTGCAGTGTCGACGGCAGTGGCATTGGCTAGTTGATTTAGTCAGCTGATTTCGTCTTGTCATTGCGTAATTCTTTTGTTGGTTGGTTCTTCTGTTCTTCAGTTCAGTTCAGTATTTACTGAGCAAACATCATGTAATGATGTAGGCTATGCTTATCGAATTACATATTGACACAATTATGAAACGGAGATTAAATTTAAATGAAAGTTAGTTCCTTATTTCCTATTTTAAGTTTTATTTGCTAGTTCAAAAAGTATTCGGCTCGAACATTTCGAACTTTTTGAAAATCACGAGCCGAGCCGAATAGCGTCCTTTTCGGCCCGAAAAAGCTCGATGTTTGAATACTCGCACACCCCTAGTAGGCAGTAGTGATGACCGCTGGGATGGGGTAGCGCACCCCCTCGGTTTCACAACAATAGCTATGTTTTGACAACAGCTGATTAGGTCTGACCGGGTCTACCTGGACATTTTCTCTCTTTTAGTGTAAATGCCGGATTACTGGAATGTTATCAATAAAAACACTTAAAATGCAATTAAAACACATATCCGAAGATCGTGGGGGACGATGATAATGTCTACATGGCCGCAGGAGATAATCATAATTTTAACACAATCGTGCATGACAGTGATGACGTTTCCGTGACCGCCAGTGGCGATGATAATGTTTATTGTCCGTGGGAGATTTTCGTGATTTTGTCACGATCGCACATGACGACGATGACGTTTCCGTGACCGCGGGAGATGTTCGTGATTTTACAGCGATCGCGCAAGTCGACGATGACATATCCTTGACCGCGGGAGTAGACATTGATGTTTACACGGCCGCGGGAGATGATAAAATTTTTGCCGCTACCGAGGTAGCCAACAATAATGTCTACATGACCACGGGAGATGTTCATGATTTTGCCGCGATCGCGCAAGACGACAATGACTGCGGGAGTGGATGATGATGTCTACTTGGCCGCAGGAGATAATCAGAATTTTGCCGTGATCGCGGAAGACGTCACCCGTCAAAAGACGCCGGATTACATGAGTGCCGGAGTGGTGCAGTGCCGGATTAGAGAGGGTCTACTGTACAGTAAAACCTATTATTTCCGGTATAGACAGGACTAGGATCATAACGGATAAATGAATTACCGGATAAACTGATTTGACCGATTTTAGAGATGTACACAGTTAAAAATCACCTTCAGAAAGTCTCTGCAATACCCGCAATACAAGAGCGTGTTGCTGTTACGTTTCCTTTGCAAAGGCGTTCTGTTTTTAATTTTTTTTAAATAATCTTGTCTTGGGGCAAAGTCAATCTTGCTTGAACTAACAAGATTTTGTTAATCTCGCAAATTTATCAAAAATTTGAGACTCGTCCATGTCTCTTGGTAGTAAATAAGGACCAAATATGCATAACAAACATTGTCATTTGTTATCATCATAGTTTAACTTGTTGAGTGCTGACTACATCAATTGATGGAGTCACGCCACGAGTGCTCTTATCGGCCTACATCAATTGATGTAGCTGCGCAACCCCCACTACATTTAGTTCAGTATGAGCTCAGCGATTGCCAGGGAGCGTTATAATCGTTGCCAGCCTGTAGCTTGGAATGTAAGCTTTATTTTAGGGTAGGTTGGTACTAAAATTTCCTGTAAAATCCCGTTTGACAATGCTTTTGTCCCGGTTTTGGGATTTCCTCTCTTCAAGCAACATTACAAAGCCACTGACTACTAATCCAGGCAGTGCTGCTACCTATTGGTGTTCAAGGGAACTATGTCCAATCTCGGGGTAACGTAGTACAATCACCGCTGCTCTTTTGTTGTTCGTCAGATTGATTAATTGGAATGCCAATTGCATTTGCTGTTACGGTGCCGCGCGGGGGCTTTGCCCGGGCCTCACCGCCATTGGCGAGTGCCTGTTTGAATGCCTGCCGCACTCAAGTGTTATGGCATGGACGGTGGAACCAGAACTCTACAACTGATTTGGTGTTATTTGGGGATTTTGTCTTGGCCAGTTTGGTGGGGGGGGATTTGTGTCTGGTTAAAAGACATAATTCAAAGATAATTCAAATTTAGCTTGTATCTATACATACTTTTTATATTTCAGAGAGTTGTTAAATGAAACAGCGGATGTTACCTTATCAAGCTCGTGGAAAGAAGTTCGCAAACAGATAAAAGATGACCCTAGATACACCAAGTTCTCTTCTAGTGAAAAGGTTAGTAATAATTATTTCACCTATTACTAAGTGACTCAGAAATGCAACATTTATAGACTAAGTGGGTTAGAAATGCAACTTATGAATAGAGGTGTGCGGATAGTGAAATTTCATTTCCGATCGGATAGTTGAGGCTCGGTTCGGATCGGATCGGATATTGGGAGGTTCGGATTCGGATATTTTCGGATTCGGATAGTTCGGCGCGGTTAATAATAAGCTGCATATGTATTTTTAACCTATAAAACAATGTAAAGCTGTGTAAATAAACTTAAATGATGATTTTGAACTATAGAATTTCAAATTAGCCAAGTCCACAGTTTTCTCTCTCTTGAAAATCACAATTCACAACATTTATTTTCAAAAGTTGGTTGCTTGAATTAAGTACACTAGCAGCCCAAATTTTCACACAACACCTTAGCTCAGCAGGACTGATGTCAAACGTTCGGGCTTGTTTACTTGAGGTTTTTTTTTATCTTGTCTCCTGGTTCTCACAAGCCTAGGAGTTCGATCTCAAGTTTATTTTCACATTGTATTTCTTTACATTTTTGGAACGGATTATTGGCCTTAAGTGGCATTTTGCGGGTTTGCCAAGTTTAGAAAACATCACTAATGCACTAAGATGGGCTCTAGCTCACGATTTGATGTTAGGCAATTAAATTAGACTTTATAACTGTGTAAAAGGATTGTATCCCTGAATTTATAAATTGCATTCTACACTTATTCACTGCCAATCATAATTCAGTAGAACCTTGATGAACCGAGAATTACACTAGCCTACATAACTTCATTACCCCAAGTAAAATACCAAGATAATTTTTTTATAATTGTATTTGAATCATATAATCTTAGTTTGTTAAAAATGGATTGTATGTTCAACAATAATTGCAGTCCATTATTGTTAAGCAGTATGGTCCCAAATTATTGTTTTTGATTTTGAAACATCACAGTTCATTTGACAAAATTATCGTTGAAGCAGCCCAATGTCAAGTTACGCTTGTGCAATAGTTTGTTTACAAGCTTTCTCCAGACCAAGGGGGAGGGGAGGGTCTGATAAGCCGTCTATTGTTCACCCCCAAGAAGGTCCGACCCTCATTAGTGCCGCTCGGCTGCACTCAGTGGGGAACCCAATACCACAAATCAATCTTTTAAATGAATACAAATATTTGGTAATAATTGTTTTATTAATTTTTAGAGGTGTGCGGATAGTGAAATTTCATTTCGTATCGGATTCGGTTTGGATAGTTGAGGCTCGGTTCGGATCGGATCGGATATTGGGAGGTTCGGATTCGGATAGTTCGGCGCGGTTAATAATAAGCTGCATATGTATTTTGAACCTATAAAACAATGTAAAGCTGTGTAATTAAACTTAAATGACGATTTTGAACTATAGAATTTCAAATTAGCCAAGTCCACAGTTTTCTCTCTCTTGAAAATCACAATTCACAATATTTATTTTCAAAAGTTGGTTGCTTGAATTAAGTACACTAGCAGCCGAAATCTTCACACAACACCTTAACTCAGCAGGACTGATGTCAAACGTTTGGGCTTGTTTACTTGAGGTTATGTTTTATCTTGTTTCCTGGTTCTCACAAGCCAAGGAGTTCAATCTCAAGTTTATTTTCACATTGTATTTCCTTGCGTTTTTGGAACGGATTATTGGCCTTAAGTGGCATTTTGCGGGTTTGCCAAGTTTAGAAAACATCACTAATGCACTAAGATGGGCTCTAGCTCACGATTTGATGTTGGGCAATTATACTTTATAACTGTGTAAAAGGTGTGTATCCCTGAATTTATAAATTGCATTCTACACTTATTCACTGCCAAACATAATTCAGTAGAACCTTGATGAACCGAGAATTATACTAGCCTACATAACTTCATTACCCCAAGTAAAATACCAAGATAATTTTTATAATTGTACTAGCTGGCCTAGACGTCGTCCTGTCCTAATGTGGTTTTATGTCAAATGCTCGGATGAGCTCGTTCGCATGGTTCAATCACGTCCTGGTTGAAGTTCGTTCGCTACGCTCACTCACCTTTAGGTTGGAGCTCGTTCACTGCGCTCACTTGCCTTCAGGTTAGCTCGTTCGCTACGCTAACTCACCTCCAGGTTGAAGTTCGTTCGCTACGCTCACTCACCTTTTGGTTGCAAATTAGCTGTTGTCATAAATTTAAAAAAAATAATAGTGTTGCACCCTGTTGGTAAACCTATTAAATTTTTAATGCTACTGAACATCACGGAATCAAATTCTTTAGTTGAACCAGCTGTTAAGATTCTTTAATTCCATTTAAATATGAATACTCATGAGGTTAACATGGGAAACTCCAGAGCCACTGGGGCGAAGCCCTTTTGACGGATCTGCACCAAACTTCACGCAAACCATCCTGGAATAATGCTTAATAATACCTGAAAGTTTCATTACAATCTGTCGAGCAGTTTCGGAGTCCATAAAGGACAAACATACAAACAAACATACATTGGATTTTATATATATAGATTTGAATCGTATAATCTTAGTTTGTTAAAAATGGATTGTATGTTCAACAATAATTGCAGTCCATTATTGTTAAGCAGTATGGTCCCAAATTATTGTTTTTGATTTTGAAACATCACAGTTCATTTGACAAAATTATCGTTGAAGCAGCCCAATGTCAAGTCATGCTTGTGCAATAGTTTGTTTACAAGCTTTCTCCAGACCACGGGGGAGGGGAGGGTCTGATAAGCCGTCTATTGTTCACCCCCAAGAAGGTCCGGCCCTCATTAGTGCCGCTCGGCTGCACTCAGTGGGGAACCCAATACCACAAATCAATCTTTTTAAATGAATACAAATATTTGGTAATAATTGTTTTATTAATATTCACCTTGAAATTTCAATAAATTTGGTGTAAAATTTGACAAAAATCGGCCATTTTGACCGATTATTAATACAGTACCAAATACCAATAAAGTAGTACATTCATTGGTAATTAAATAATAGGTAAAAATTAACCTATTTTTGTCAAGTTTACCCCCCTGCTGTGCGCTATGTCACAAAAGCTGATAACGACATGGGTGATTAGTAACCATGGCAACTTGTTGAATGCGTGATGAAGGGAAACCCAAGAAATAGAAAAACAAAGAGAAAGAATAACGACGTTGTTATCTTTATACCCTTTTTACAATTTCCGTTATTGTTATCTTTATGTAAGATTTTATGATTTAGTTTTATAGGTTTATAAAATAATTCTTTTTAACTACGGGAATATCAATTTATAATTTATCAACGTGCTTCTCTTCTGAAACAGCAATACCGGATGCATAATAAAGGTCAATGACCTAAAATATCACGATTGTGCAATATTGTATTTTGATGTTGAAATTAAAATCACGACAAAAGTTTGTATATATCCATGGTCCCTATAGTTTAATAATTTAATACGTACACAATCAATGCTAAATAATCGTGGTTAGTTCTAACTTTATTTTTTATTATTCAAAGTTTCTACACAGTAAGACAATCCAAAGTCAAACCGGGCAATGAATACCAAAAAAAACAACGTATTTTGTCCTGTAATTGGAATACCACTCGCCGGCCAGTTGTGTTAATATACTTCGATGGCCAGTCCTTTAGGTTTAGGGAAGTAGTGCAAGTCTATATATAGCTTCAAGGTCTTACCCACCCCTTCCCCCTCCGGTCCTACTTGACTCACTACCCGCGCTCCTTTCAAGGTCATTGCCCAACCTCTCCCACCCTTATATTGTGTTGCCTTTCTATTGTTTCTATTCTGACTTTTTTCGGGAAACATTAAATCTATTGTTTACGTAACATCACAGTAGTAGGCTAGATTTTTCTACTTTGAAACAGTACTGTAAAAAACTATTACGCAGCGCCCCTAGTATCAGGAGTGAGACAAGCTCGAGTTGACTTTTATTTGACCATGGTAGTTCTTTTCTGCTTTATGTCTGTTCGTTCCAGACAAATCTAATCGTAAAGCAAAACAGCCGATAACGACTAAACTAGTTATCAGTATTGCATCATACGGCTTCTTTGCCGTTTGCAGTTAGGTCGTTGGAAACGTATTGCTGTAATTTTGTCGTGGGAAACTAATGGCTATGGAGATTTAGTTTTCTGTCCAAAACCTCAAAATATATTGTCTATCCGAAAAAGTCGGATATATAACGGATAGTGTTGGATATCGAATTTGGGCCCGGTTCGGATACGGATATCCGAACTGAACCGAATCCGATCCGATTTTTCGGATATCCGCACACCTCTACTTATGAATGAAATGCTCTGATAATGTTTGCTGAATGTAACTTTGCTAAGATTATGGCCAGATCCAGTGGCAGCAGAACTTTGTCACAACCATGAAAATGTTTCCACACCCTAATAAAAATATGTGATAGCAAAACATTAAAATAAAATATAATAAGAAAATAAAATTAATATAGATGTTTCCTATGTTTCATACGTTTTAATAAAATATGTTTAGGTACAAAATAAAAGAAAAAAGAAAAATCCCTGTGTCCTCATTCCTTATCTTATATTTTAAAAAATTTGATTATTCTTTTCGGAGTTCGTTTGGCTCTTCTACCCGACTGATTTTCATGATTGAGGTCTCAAATTGAAGGTATGCACGCTCAGATTTGCCATCAAGCATCGGTATATATTTATCTATAATCCCTCTCAGTTTATATGTAAACAAAATTTGCTCCCCATGTATTTCTTATGGGAGTTAAATTTGGGTTTCTTTGCCGAGTTCGTTTGGCTCTTCTAACCGACCGATTTTCATGATTGAGGTCTCAAACTGAAGGTATGCACGCACAGATTTGCCATCAAGCATCGGCATATATTTATCTATAATCCCACTAAATTTATACGTAAATGAAATTTGCTCCCCATGTATTTATTATGGGAGTTTAAATTTGGTTGATTTTCATGATTGAGGTCTCAAATTGAAGGTATGCACACACAGATTTGCCATTAAGCAATGGCATATATTTATCCATAATCCCACTC